TCTGGGTCTCTGAGGCTAGGTACAGTGTATTATTTCTTTTATAGCCCTTGAAATCGACATTTTCAGCTTGCAAGGTTATGGAACTTTAAATATTATTGTTTTCCCTATATGTTCATAAATTTTTCACAAGGTCTTTACTAGGATTGTTGGAATTTTTTTTTTGACAAAGTTGTAGTCAGATTGACATTAGATTTCTTTGTTTCAGATACAAAGTGGAGGTCAATAGAGTGCCAGCTGGAAACTGGATTCTTATAGAGGGCATTGACCAACCGATTGTCAAGACTTCAACAATCACTGATGTCTCTAATTCTGATGAGGTGATTATCTTAATTTTGTTGTATTTAAAGAACAAAGGTTTTTTTGTAATTTAATCATTAATAAAGACATTAATTGGAAGATAAATAGTTTGACTGTTAATCTTTTTGGGGTAGAGATTACCTGTCCTTTTTCTCTCTGTAGGTGTACATTTTTCGGCCATTGAAGTTCAACACAAGTTCTGTCATCAAGATTGCAGTGGAACCAGTGAATCCTTCAGAACTTCCCAAAATGTTGGATGGATTACGAAAAGTTAACAAGAGTTATCCTCTCCTTACCACTAAGGTATACATTAAGATATTGATAGGTGATTCCAGCTTTGGAAGACATCATTTTAGCATGTTAGCATGATTAAGTAGTAAAGAATCGGCAGTTAAAGTGTGAATTTGTATCTAGGTAGATCAGCAGTTAAAGTGTGAATTTGTATCTAGGTAGATCAGCAGTTAAAGTCTGAATTTGTATCTAGGTAGAGGAATCTGGTGAACACATTATCCTGGGGACAGGTGAGCTATACCTGGACTGTGTGATGCATGATCTGAGGAAGATGTACTCAGAGATAGGTAAGAAACTCCAATATACAGTCTCTTATACTAATGTACAGTTAATGATACAGTAAGGTATTACAATTTATATAATTGTAAGCATTACCATTGGTTTTTATACATTATATGTTTTTTGATGTTTGTCATTTATTAAGTAAATAAATGCAATATTCTATACAGGAAAGTATATGTGATTTATGATGGTATGTAATTTTATGGTTATACATGTAGATATTAAGGTAGCAGATCCAGTGGTGTCCTTTTGTGAGACGGTGGTTGAAACTTCATCACTCAAGTGTTTTGCAGAGACCCCAAACAAAAGGTAAATGATTAAACCTAAAATTCATCTCCTTGTTCCAGATACAGTCCAAACTCGTTATCTCGAACTTCATGGGACCAAGAATATACTTCGAGATATTCAAGGATTCGAGATATCCAGGGTTAAATACTTCAGAAATAAGCACTTGGGACTTCAAAATCACTTTGACATATCCATGGTATTCGAAATGTATGTATTCGAGATACCAAAGTTCAACTGTACATGTATATTGTTCTCCCATGAGGATTTTATGTATGAGGAAGATTTTACATGATAAATACAGTAAAAAATGCTTAAAGCAAAAACGTTTTTAATGAAATGACATTAACAGTGAAGTGAGTTTCATTCCATCTGTCTTTAAGATATATTGTGAACTTAACAGATATAACAAATTAAGTTTATAATGAAGAGAAATTGTCTATCCCTGGCTTTTTGTTATAAGCTTTTTTACTGTAGAAATGTTACTGTTACAGAAACAAGCTGACAATGATAGCTGAACCTTTGGAGAAGGGTTTGGCTGAGGATATAGAAAATGAAGTGGTGCAGATCACATGGCCCAGGAAACGACTGGGAGAGTTTTTCCAGACGAAATATGACTGGGATCTGTTAGCTGCACGATCTATCTGGGCCTTTGGACCGGATGCCACAGGACCAAACATTTTGGTAGATGACACACTGCCCTCTGAGGTAAAAATTTGTGGTTGACTTTGGAAACTAGTTATCACAGTTTGAATTTTTCCTAATATTTAGTATGCTATTTCTTCATACGTGAGAGAAAATTGATTAATTTTGTGAATTTTTAGATAATCAAATGCTAAATTCTTGCACACAAATGTTCATCCTAAAATTAGTAATTATAAGAAAGTTAGGTATTTTAGAAGAGTAGGACAGGGTCATTAAGATGGTTCACATTTCTGGTATTTTTAGATATATTTTTGTCTCATTTTCAAGTGATTCATCAGTACTTTGCAAGAGGAAGAATAAAACATACAAACATAAAAAATTTGCACATGTAGTATCACATAAACTTATGGAACTTACATGTATCTACAAGAGTGATACTTGACCAGTTGTAACACATATTTGACTATGTCATAATAACAGACTTCTTTTGATTTAATTATGAAAAACAAGGCATAGTATTTCTTCTTTGAAGATCCTTTACATGTAACTAACAGTCAATATTTCTGTAGGTTGATAAGAGTTTACTTGGGGCTGTTAAAGACAGCATAGTCCAAGGATTTCAGTGGGCAACGAGAGAAGGTCCACTCTGTGATGAACGTAAGTCAAAAAAAAATTGCTTTTGTTGTTATTTGGCATTCATTTGAAATAGTAATTATCTTAAAAGTTAGTATTTATATTAAACTGAAAAAAATCATCCTCCATTTATTGGCAGTTATATACTAGATACATGTATTCTGTAACATGAAAGTTCTTAAATTCATGAACACTCATGACATAATGAAAGCTACACAAGTTTCCTGGTTGAAGGGTAAACTTTTTTCTAAACAATACTGGACATTCTATATTTCAGCCATCAGGAATGTGAAGTTTAAGATTCTGGATGCTGTGATTGCCCAGGAGCCGTTACACAGAGGGGGTGGACAGATTATCCCCACAGCCAGAAGAGTGGCTTACTCGGCTTTCCTTATGGTCAGTTTACCTGTATAGTAATTGTCAGACCCAATCTGTTCACTGTATACATTATTTATACATAATGAATACAAATAACAGTACATAGTAGTAGTCATTAAAGTATTTACTTATTAAAGCTGCATGTGTAGTTCCACTGATGATTTCCCCTTTTTTGATTTGCTCTATCTACACAGGCTACTCCTCGTATGATGGAGCCATACAACTTTGTAGAAGTGATGGCTCCTGCTGACTGTGTGTCTGCTGTCTACACAGTCTTAGCCAAAAGAAGGTAAAACATCAAAATATTTAATCTATCAATAATTTTGCATAAATACTGTATGTTTTATATTTCAAATTCATATTTTTTTGTAAAAAAAAAAAAAAAGTGTTACTCCTATGAAGAACAGAAAAGTAATTATGACTCTTTTTTTCCCAGAGGACATGTTACCCAGGATGCACCTGTGCCAGGCTCCCCTCTGTACACAATCAAGGCTTTTATTCCAGCCATTGACTCGTTTGGATTCGAGACAGATCTGAGAACTCACACACAAGGTCAGGCCTTCTGTCTGTCTGTGTTTCATCACTGGCAGATTGTACCAGGAGACCCTCTGGATAAAAGCATTTTAATTCGCCCTCTAGAAGCACAGCCCGCCACTCATCTGGCCAGGGAGTTTATGATCAAGTCACGAAGAAGAAAGGTACATAGTAATTAATTTCTGTGCAATTATTCTAAAGGTTAAGATTTTTGGAGTACTTAAAACTACCTTAGACTTTATGTATATGGGACTAGCCTAGGGGTTATTTTGACAGGATTGAACAAATAAAATCAGCCAAAAGAATAGTGGTGTAATGTATATAGTTCATGTTCTAATGTTTATTGTGATTCAAGTATAATACTGAATTTCAATATGTTCATTAAAATCAAACAAAATGTCTGTAGTCCACTGATCAATAGACTTTTGTCTTTCTTATCTACTTAGTGAATCTGTTATTGAATCACAAAATAACTTTCTGTTCATGTTCAGACTTGAACATTAGATTTCATGTGGCAGGTTAATTTACCTGTAAATATTTATGAACCTATTGTAGGGCCTCAGTGAAGATGTCAGCATCAACAAGTTCTTTGATGACCCTATGTTGTTGGAGTTGGCAAAACAGGATGTCATGCAGAGTTACCCAATGTAGAATTGTGTTTTATAAATCACCAAGACAATATTTCCATACATTATGCAATATTCATTGTAAACTATCATTTCATGACCATCATGAAAAATAAATTTTATGTGACAGATATTTATAATTATTTATTTAAAAGGTTTGCATTCTCTTACAAAATTTATTGTCTCCGAAATAAATGTCATCCTCTGCTCATTTGATGGATGTTCAAGAAATATTAATGTTCAAAGTTTGTGTGCCATTTAAACTGACCTTAAGTTAATGACAAATTATAATTATATTTATTCCCAAGGTTCTTTACTTAAAGTTTCAAAAATGTCAACACGTATAGAAGCTCTGCTTAATGAAGTAGAAATTTACAGAATGGGTCATAGTCTCCGTAACATTGCATATAAAAAATTAAAGAAGTGAAAAGTCCAAGTTATTTATTGGAAAAAAAATCCCCCACATCTATTTGGTCAAAATCTAGACAGTGAACATCATAATCTGGTACTTCTTGTTTTATTTGTTGTGGAGACTTTATTTACTAACTCAGTTGAGCTGTAGTATATCCATTATCCAGATGCTTTTTGTTAGCTCAGCTGAGCCAAAGGCTCAAGTGAGCCTTTTGATCTAAATTTGTCCGTTGTCTGTCGTTGTCATTGTTAACTTTTCACAATATCATTTTCTCCAGAACCACTGGGCCAATTTCAACCAAAGTTAGCACAGAGTATCCTTGGGTGAAGGAGATTCAAATTTATACAAATGAAGGACCATGTCCTCTTCCAAGGGGAGATAATTACAAATTTGTGAAAAATTAATGGCATCATTTAAAAAATCTTCTTCTCAAGAACCATTGGCTAGGAAAAATGAAACTTATTTGGAATCATCCTCAGGTAGCTAGTGTAGATTTATATTTGTTCAAATCATGACCCCCCGGGGGTAGGGTGGGGCCACAATGGATGATCAAAGTTTTACGTAGGAGTATATAGGGAAAAACTTTCAATAGTTTGAAGAAATATGTAAGCATCCTTAGTTAGTGTAGATTCAATTTTGTTCAAATCATAACCCCCCCCCCCCTTTTATAGGGGTAGGTAAGGGCCACTTATGCATTTAAGCTTTTCAATACTGAACTGATTTTTGCTTTTTTCCTAGCCTTAGTGCTCAGGTGAGTGATGTATCCCATGGGCCTCTTGTTTAAATTGATGAGCACTGGACCTTTAAAGTGAGCTCCGTCTTCTCAAATGATGCCATGTCTTTCTGTAATTCCGTGGGTTCTCTGGGGTGACTTTGGACTTCTTGTTTGTCCGTTTGCAATTCCCTGATTTGTTAAGAACTTTAAATTTCTGTTTAGAGTTGATTTCATCAAGTTTCTTTTGTTTTAAATGAAAGTTTCTTAATTCCTTGTCTTCATGTAAATCTGTCAAAGTGACGACTGTCTGTTTTTCTGACGTCATACAAAGTGTATCCTTCTTGTTCTCTACGTCATCCAAGGACACCGTGTCTACTTCCATAAGTGCAGCTTTTATTTCTTCGGAAGGACCAGTCTCCAAACACAAAGACACCAGTCGATACATGTACATTGTTATTATCAGCGAGTTTTTAAAAAGAAAAAATATAATTGTGTCGTCAACAATTCCCAAAGACCCGACAGCGTACGAACGGCACACTAAGAACGGAAACTCTTGCATTAGGATAGAGGCTACAATGCTCCAGATTTCTGTTTTGAGGCATACATTCAGTGTTTTAACTATAATCTGCATATACCGTTTGTCTCGGTGAACAGTAATGACGAGATTCTCATCCCTGTATTCTGTGAAGGAGATTGGGAACTGGAAAACACTTATACTCCACACCACCAGGACTACAAAAGTAAAACTTCTGTCCTCAACCACAGCTTTGTGTGAGAACAACGTGAAAAAGTCAGTCATGTCACAAGCTTTACCAATCAACACCAGCAGCAAGTTGGACAGCTTGTCACGTGACATTTGACCTTTCGGAAGTGTCCATCTCCCAATGATCATGACGAGTAGAAAGCTCTGCTCGATGGCGAAGACGAAAACGTCATTATCCAACTGTATAAAGTCTCCATAAAAAGGCTGAAAAAATGCATTTGAAGAATATATATGTAATAAGAAGTACACAGAAAGCAAGAACCCCACCCACTCCCCAAAAATAAAAAGGGGTAAGAATCTATAATAAACACAAAACATAACCTAGGTTTGTTTGTTTGTATGTTGCTTAACGTCCCCTCTCGAGAATTTTTCTCATATGAAGATGCCACCACTTGCCGGTGGAGAGCTGCAAATTTTGTCCTATGCTCGGCACTAGCGGCCATTGAGCATTGAGGGATCTTTATCGTGCCAGCACCTACTGCGACAGGGACCTCAGTTTATACGGTCTCATCCGAAGAACCGGTCTCCACGTCCCACAGTGGGATTCGAACCCGCGACGTAAGGATCAACTCCTTACTTCGCGACTCTAGAGCAGACGCTCTAACCACTGCGCCACGTGGGCGACACATAACCTAGGTAGAAGTCATCTTGTGCTAAGAAGAAAATATAATATATAGTGCCTGTACTCATGATCTATAAATAGATATTCTTTTTGTAGTTTCGACACTAGGCTACTCTTATTAAACCGATGTAAACTTCAATAGAATGCGATACCAACCTGCACTGAGAAAACAAACTGAAGTCTACTGTTAATCTTTTAACCTTGCATTAGTTTACTCTTGCGAACATTGAAGGAACACTTCGTCTTAAATGGAGCGCTGGCCTATAGGGCCGGGATTGGTTTTAGTCTTTACAAAAAGCTTGTCGATTTCTCTTCAGATCAATGACTTAAGGCTACATACATGTACTAATTCGTTTCTCATAAATCGTTTGACATGCATTTCAGGATGTAGAGATAGGAGGAGCCTTTTCATAGACATTAAGTATGTAGCATGATATAATGAACGCATTTTGAGTTTGTTATCTCGAAATGTTATTTGATTTTTTTATCACTTTTCATTGTACATTATGGTACATTGTAATGTCTATAGTCTTAGTTCTTTTCTTGATTTAGTGCCGACTTTTACCAGTGTTCAATTGATTTAGTGCCGACTTTAACCAGTGTTCAATTGTAACCAGTTACATAACATTTTGACGGGCAGCATTTTTCATTTATTCAGTTATTAATTGGTTATGTTATATCTGCATCAATAAGATCTCCCTTGGGTTTTAGATGATTTGTTACCATTAAAACTGATTGTCACCAAAGGAATATAGTTGTAACTATTGTAACCTAAATAAAAAGACCCCTCGGGTGTCAGATGATTTTTTCCCATTGTAACTGATTGTCACCGAAGGAATATATATTGTAACCAGTGAAACCTAGGATAAAGACCCATTTTGGTTTCAGATGATCTGTTACCGTTGTAACGGATTGTTAACAAAGGATTAGAGTGCAGTTACTGATACATAATATAGCCTACTGTTTCAAAACTTGAAATCTGAATTTAGAACATTGAATATAAAATTACATGAATGTAATTGTAAATATACTACTCTTTACTGTATGATGTCTATTGTCTGTTACTCTATATTTGTTATTATTTATGAGTTTATGCCTATTTGGGCCCTGATTTGGTAATAAAACCTATCGTATTCTATTCTATAATAACTCAAATAATACAAGCAATACCCGGGTACACATACACTTTACATCACAATAAACCGGATAAGTATTAGAAGTACAGACAATAAAATCAATGTAATACACTGAATTGATTAATTTTAAAGCAATATGAGATGCAACTTTGATGTCGGAAATTTTTGTTGCAGTTTTGTAATTAACTATTTCAATAACAGAAAAAGAATGTTTATAAACTTTTTTGTTTGTATTTGCAATGGAAGAACTCTTTATAAGCTTTGATGGAAGCAAAATTACATTATTGTCGTTCTGTACAATATTGATTTCTTATATAATACTATATATTCTATTGTACAAAACAAATTAACACTTTATTTTTGTCTAATTGATCATAAAGGATTAAACACATACAGATTTATCATAACAGCACATTTTAACAGCAAAATAAACTTTTCAAAAATGCAGCTCATACTGCTTTAAGGAATTCGTAAACAACAGAAATCCATTGCAGCTCATTGCAGACGAAAATACCTGTATCGAGTAACACAGAGTGAATTATTCGTGTTCTTGAAGAAAGTGTGTTATACTGATGAGGCATAGTTCACTTGACTCTGATTACTTACAATGGAATTTACAATTTGCTTTCTCTTTAGTGTCTTTGATATCAAGAGTGAACATGCATAAAAGATAGATAATTGAAGGGAAATACACAAGCACCTGTAAAAAAAACATAGTCTTTGAAAAGGCGAGAATTTAAAACTCTGAAAGTGTGGTACCAGGTGGATTCGAACCACGACTCTAACTTGGAAAAAAGTACTTGGCAGTATCAATAGTCAGCGGTTATAGTTATACCACTCGAACTATGAAAATAGAATTATAAATATGAACCAGATGGTTAAAACATGTTTTCTTATTTTTTTTTTTTTAAGGTTTATTTTGTGAATTTCGACCTTCGGGTAGGGGTGCCCCTCAACAAATCCTATCTTAAATTATTCCTTAGATCACAACCTTTCAAAATATCATAATTCTATTTAGGGCAGGCCTGCCCTGAAGGACTTCTAGGCCAAAATTTATGCAAAAGTCGGTGCTTTAATGGAGAAAATGCTGTTTCTTAACTTTGATGTAGCCTAATTTTTAAGTTGCAATTAATGAATTCTAAGTTAAAAATGCAAATTTGAAAAATTCAGACATATATATGCGTTAGAAAATAAATAACGAACACCGATTTTTAAATGTGATTTTTTTTCCGGGTAATTTTCCTCTTCTAGTCTTTTGAATTCTTTTAAAATTCCAAATACATACTTTATTCAAAAGATGCAATTTTGCATTCCAATCCCGATTATAGGTCAAAATGCTATTTAAGGACCCTCTATATACTGCACACCGAAGACTTTTATTTTCATTCGACTTTTATCAAGTAAGGGTGATCTACACCTCGATTTCAAATTGTACTGTGTAACACACATGCAGTTTGTATTCTATTCTAGTATCCTTAACATTATATTGGACAAGTTGAAGTCATTGAATACTTTATTTGTATGTGTTTTCCCCGTTTAAGTAAGCAACAGTGATTTGTGTTTCACTGTTTATCAAAAAGTTGTTCTCTTTGAACATTTATTTTCCAAGGGAGAATGACAGGTAATCTGTGCACGTTAAAAATGAAACATATGTAGGTCAACTAATCATTTCCATCTTATGCAATACAATATTTTCTCAAAGCCCCCCCCCACTCCCCCCAAAAATCCTTAGTGTCTAAAGGATCCTTAATTTATTATTGACGAAAATGCTATACTTCACAAAATAATAAATGCGTAGTCCACGCAGAAATGTCAAGTGTAGTTCATGACATCTTAATTATACATTTTTCTCTAATGAAAGCTGCAACCAGTTCCGAACTTCTCAAAATTGATTTGGTGATAATTTAAGACCACCAAAAGCAAACAAACCGTTGTTTCCGGATTAAATATTTACAAAAGAAACTAAAACAGTGCGTTTTTTTTTTAATTTGGACATGCTGGCTTTTGTGGGTATCTTTCGTCGTTTTTTAGTATTTTCAATTTTGTCTTACTATTTCCATCCTCGTATAAACCCAAGGGATTTTTCTTCGTCACACTTCATTTAACTAAGTGTGACGGAGAGAAATCCCTTGGGTACTAACGATAGAATTTTATAAATTGCTTTTTAAGTATTCAGTATCCCATTCTGTTGTTTATGTTACTTAATGATTTATAAACAATGGAATTCCAGTTACATGAATAACTAATGTTTTATTCTTAACATAAGGGAAATTGTTTCGGAATCTATTGTAGTATTCATGATCAATCTAAACAATTTTGATCGACTCTGCTGCCGCTACCTTGCATAAAACAAGAGGTCCAAGGGCCTTAACGGTCACCTGAGTATAATACAACAATCTAGAGGATCCATAGACTCTGAGTATAAACTGATAGATGAAGCTTTGTTGCCCAAAAGCAAGAGAAATAGGATGATCAGGGTCAATGAAATAATTAGTCTAGTATTCAGTAACAACTCATACATTGAATTCTAATCTATCCCCCATTTAGCACTATCACCATGCAGACTATTAACCACCGTCGAAAACCACGGCCAAAATGTACGATCCTCTCCCATTCTAGCCGTAGGAGAGAGCTATATGCGGACTCCGGACCGTGGCTTGAGACGATGACTATTAATTAAGGGGGACCGACCCTCTGATAAGAGAGATAACTTTCCAAGTAAAATATTCTAGTATTACTCATAGTGTACGTTATCAGAATTTAATTATCGAGACCTTTGAGAAGTCAATTCGATCAAACTTAACATATGATTTATTATGTTTGACAAAAAAACATTTAAATCCAGTTTTAAAACCCTTAAAAATTGAATAAGTTCTATCTTTTTAACGATTATTTTAAAAATGGTTTAATGTATCAAGCACCAAATGTAGAATTTTTATTAGTATTACATTTTTTTTCAATGAAAAAATATTTATAAGAAAGATAACTCTTGCTAACAGATGTATTATTTTCTTACAACCACATATAACATTGTGATATTATTCTGAAATAGGAAGTAGCCCTTCATTATGATTTCTAAAATGAATGTAGTAGGTATGACACTAATATTATTTTCATATACACCGCATATTTCTAATTTTATGTTGTGATAATAAATTATTACTCTTCCTAATCTCTGTGTTAAAATTTCTTCATATTATGATCTGACATAAAAATCATTTCTGAAAATAAGCAGCGCTTCATACCTCATACTATTTTTCATTTGATTTTGATGCTATAGCTCTTGATGAAAATCAATGTTGTGAAGTTTAAAAAAATTCGTGAAATTTGGAGCAGAGGGTCATTAGTCCTTAACAAACTACTAGTTCCTCTGTACTACTTTTAATGCCATATTGTGACCTAGCTCTCACATAGGCCTCTCTTGGTCTTTGAAGAACATTTGATAA